TAACTATACAAAATTTCAAAAATATGCAATGAAAAGCTTCCCCCCCCTACTTAAATGAGGCATTGTCCTCGATGCAAGAACAACTACAATGAAAACAAAAGTAAGGGAAAAGGAAGAAAATCGTTACCATCTCAATGAGAGGGACCTCCAGAGCCAGAAGAGCCGGCATCACCCCGAGAAGCACGCCTCTCGGAACGACGCAAAGCACGGGATGCCAGGTGATCCATGAACGCCTCAGTTGGGGGCTCATACTGTGGATATTGAGCGGTATAAAACCGACTCATGCTTCTCTGATATGCAAGCAGCTCTTGCATCCCATCGCACACCTCCTCTAGTCTATCATCTACATCAGCCCTCCAGTGAGGCCAATCATCGTGCTGCACTCCAGCAGCATCCTCACCCCCTTCCTCATCAACAAACTCTCCGCCCATATGAACATCGGGATTCTCCTCTCCCATGTTCTCAATTATTACTTCGGCATCTCCCAAATAGGGGGCAACATCCGGGTCGGGCCCAAGGAAAAAGTCTGCGGCAGCAGGGCCAAAAGGTAATGCTCGTCCCTCGGGACGAGGAATTCTCAAATAGTTCAAACCCTGTGGTCCGTATCGCCAGAAATAACTACCGGCGACGAGGGAACGCGATAATAGACCGATCTTGACCAGAGTCATGATGTTATACGTTAAGTATGCCGAATCTACTGGCACAAGATCCTCAGGGGGTGGAACATTCAAATAACAAGCAAGCAAAGAGACCATGCCACCCATGCTAATGTGGCCACTGGAGTTTGATCGCACCTTTACACAACTGTCAACAAAAATCTCGACCCAATTGGGAGTACCGACACCCTCCGGGGTCATCGCCCACAAATAAGACAATGTAATTTTGGGAACCTTAGTGGCTTCCCCTTGACATAGAATAGTGGAAGAAATAAACCTATGCACGAGTCTAAGGCATAGGTGAGTGATCTTGAAGCTATGATCACCATGAGGGTCAACTTCACAACCAGTTATAGCCCTCCAAAATGTTCGGGACGAGTACGTGCTATGATCACCCCAATGGTTCACCAATGGGGGTGCATCCCAACCAAATGCCATTCGCATATCATAATAAGACACAACATAATTCTTATTATTCAAATTAAAGGATATTTGATCACGTCCTTTAGTAAGAGTTGAAAGGAATTCATAGGTATACCTGACATAGGTGGGGGCGCATTTGGTCATGAAATTCTCCAGACCCACTTTCCTTAGCAAGAGCCGCACTACTTCCTCCATGTCTAGCTCTTGCAAAGCTTCTAAGTCAAAAAACTTGGTACATTGCACCGTTCGTCGTGGTTGTTGAAGCTTAGTCCATATCCCCTTCTCCTTGGAATTCAACCGCATACCCATGAATCCATCCCCTCGAGGCAATGGAGGTGCCTCACCTTGACTAGAAGAAGCACCTTGCTTCTTGCCCCTTGGTGGTCTTGATGGAGATGATGCCTTAGACCTCTTGTTATCCCTACCCATGACTCTAATTGTATGCTTGTACCTTGACCTTCACTTTCAATTACGAGAAATTCAACTTGCACAACTTCACAACCAACTCAATGTCACACTTGAAATCAAGAGAAAATGGAAAATCTAGGTTGTAATTGTGATGGGAATTGAGGAGTGGATGAAAGGCAAGGACTTGGGAAAGGGAGATTGGTAGGGGATCGGTGCAATTGGAGTAAGGGGATGAAAGAATAGAGAGAAGGAGGAGAAAAGGAGTAAGGGTTTGTGGGAATTGGGGTTTATGAAAGGAGTAATGAAGGTAGGAGTTGGAAAGGGGGAAATAAGGGGGAAAATATCGGGGAGGCTGCCAGAGCCGCTCTGGCAGGTTTTTTGGGATTTTCTGGGCTGGAAGACCCGCTGCCAGCGGGTACGGGGCAGCTGGCAGCGGCTGATACTGATTCCTTTTTTTTTTTTTTAAGGAGGGGTGCCGCTGGCAGCGGCTCTGCAGCAGCTACCAGCGGCTGGGACAGAGCCTGGGGTTTTTGGGCTGCCTGAAGACCCGCTGGTAGCGGCTGCAGAGCAGCTGCCAGCGGCTTCAGCAGGGAATGTCCCCTTTGGCTCTGTTTCAGCTTATTTTTGCTGTGTTTCGGGCATAAAAGATGCTCCCGAGGCCTCCACCTACATAGAAACAACAAAAACACTCTTCACATCACAAGAAAAATTAAAAAAAAAAAACTACGAAAAGAAATGGGGAAGAGTTTTCGATCGGGTTGCCTCCCGATTAGCGCCTTTGTTTTACGTCGTTGGCTCGACGCGGCTCATCCCACTTCGCTACTCCATTGATGGCTCGTAGAGATCGATGCTCTCCACGTTCTCGGTTTTGAAACCCTCGAAGTAGGGTTTGAGCCTTTGTCCATTGACTTTGAAAACCTTATCGGTCTCGAGGCTTTGAATTTCAACTGCTCCATGCGGATATACGTTCACCACTTGAAAAGGGCCCTCCCAACGGGACCGAAGTTTTCCCGGAAATAATTTAAGTCGGGATTGATATAGGAGTACTTTGTCACCGACTTTGAACTCCTTCCGCGTGATCATTCGATCATGCCATAGCTTGGTCTTTGCTTTATAAGTATCGGAATTCTCATAGGACTCAAGCCGGATCTCCTCTAGTTCTTGGAGTTGCAATTTCCGATGTTCACCCGCTTCATCCAATTGAATGTTAAATGACTTAACCGCCCAATATGCTTTATGCTCAAGCTCAACCGGAAGATGGCACGGTTTTCCGAAGACAAGGCGGTAAGGGGACATCCCGATAGGTGTTTTGTATGCGGTGCGGTACGCCCATAGAGCATCCTCCAACCTCAAACTCCAATCCTTCCTATCCGGATTCACCGTTTTCTGCAGAATTGACTTCACCTCTCTATTGGACACCTCGGCTTGCCCATTGGTTTGTGGGTGATAAGCCGTGGAGATTTTGTGGTGAACGGAGTACTTCCTCAACATAGCACCCACTGTACGGTTGCAAAAGTGCGTTCCTCGGTCACTTATCAACGCCCTCGAGATTCCAAACCTAGAAAATATGTAAGATTTGATAAAACCTGAAACCACTTTAGAATCGTCAGTCCTAGTGGGTATTGCTTCCACCCACTTCGACACATAATCACAAGCAAGAAGTATATAAGTAAAACCGTGAGAAATAGGGAATGGTCCCATGAAATCTATACCCCAAACATCAAATATTTCACAATATAGTAAAGAGGATTGGGGCATTTCACTTTTCTGGGAAATGTTACCTACTCTCTGGCAATTATCACAAGATTTACAAAATCCATAGGAATCTCGAAACAAACTTGGCCAGTAAAAACCACAGTCGAGAACCTTCCTTGCTGTGCGTTTGGCTCCAAAGTGTCCACCACAAGCATGAGAATGACAGAAGGTGAGAATAGGGATCACCTCATTTTCGGGAATGCATCTGCGAATGATTTGATCGGAGCAGAACTTCCACAAGTATGGATCATCCCATGCATAGTACTTCGCATCATTTCGAAGCTTGTCCTTTTGAGACTTTGTGAAACCTGGAGGAAACTGTTGAGAAACCAGAAAATTCACAATGTTAGCAAACCAAGGCCGCAAATCCTTAAGAGCAAATAAAGATTCATCCGGAAATTCTCCTAGGATTTGTATGGAAATGATGGTTGATCAACAATATGGGACAAACGACTCAAATGATCAGCAACTAGATTTTCCGCGCCTATCTTGTCCTTGATTTCCAACTCAAACTCACATAAGAGCAGAATCCATCTTATTAGTCTTGGTTTGGCTTCTTTCTTCGTCATCAAGTGGCGAAGAGCTGCATGATCAGTGAAAACAATTACTTTAGTACCAAGCAAATAAGATCGAAACTTTTCTAGAGCAAATACTACAGCTAACAACTCTTTTTCTGTGGTAGTGTAGTTTCGTTGGGCTGAATTGAGGGTCATTGAGGCATAATAGATCACATGAGATGCCCTCCCTACTTTCTGGCCTAACACAGCTCCAACTGCATAATCACTCGCATCACACATTATCTCAAATGGTAGAGACCAATCTGGGGCTTGAATGATAGGGGCAGAAATGAGCTTAGCCTTCAATTCGTCGAAAGCCTTCTTGCAATCATCATCAAAGTGGAATTTCACATCTTTCTGCAGCAATTTGCACATAGCATTCGCAAGCTTTGAGAATCCCTCAATGAACCTACGATAGAAACCTGCATGGCCAAGAAAAGAACGCACTTCACGCACATTAGTAGGATAAGGAAGAGACTGAATAGTATCAATCTTAGCCTTATCAACCTCAATACCTCTAGAAGAGACTACATGACCTAACACAATGCCCTGTTGGACCATAAAATGACATTTCTCAGAATTTAGGACGAGGTTAGAGTCAATACATCTTTTAAGGACCATAGATAAGTGATGCAAGCATTTATCAAAAGAATCACCATAAACAGTGAAATCATCCATAAATACTTCCATGAAATGCTCAACGAACTCAGAAAAGATGCTCATCATGCATCGCTGAAAGGTTGCAGGTGCATTACATAGTCCAAAAGGCATACGTCGATACGCAAATGTGCCAAAAGGACATGTAAAAGTTGTCTTCTCTTGATCTTCAGGTGCAATGGGCACTTGAAAGTACCCAGAATACCCATCAAGGAAACAGTAATAAGATTTCCCTGCAAGTCTTTCGATCATTTGGTCAATAAAAGGTAAAGGGATATGGTCTTTCCTAGTTACTGCATTCAACCTACGATAATCAATGCAAACTCGCCAACCATTTTGAACTCTAGTAGGAACCATTTCACCCTGTTGATTTTCTACCACAGTCACACCACTTTTCTTAGGAACCACCTGCGTAGGACTGACCCATTTACTATCAGATATAGGAAATATCATTCCTACTTGCAATAATTTTATGATCTCCTTCTTTACCACTTCCATCATGGGAGGATTCAGGCGACGCTGAGGTTGCCTCACAGGTTTGGCATCATGCTCTAGCAGAATACGATGCATGCAAGTGGATGGAATTATTCCCTTAATGTCTGTAATGGTCCATCCAATAGCTAACTTGTGCTCTTTCAGCACTGCCACCAACTTGTCCTCTTGCTCCTTGGTCAATTTGCTTGAAATTATAACAGGTAAAGTATCGTTCGGACCAAGGAACACATATTTCAAATGATCAGGAAGTGGTTTTAGCTCCACCTGGGGTGCCTGCAAAACAGAAGGTAAGAGTTTATCAGTAGGCACTGTCAATGGGGTAGGTGTCGAACCTGGTGGTCTAAGTGGGAGCTTGGAATGGCTATTCAACTCTGCTACCATCATCTGCACACTATTAGGCAAAGGGATATCCAAACAATCAGCAGATAAATCATTAGAAATGGAAGTGAGGAGCGCATCCTCGCCCTCAACATCGAAGACATCCTGCACTATAGGATCAATGATATCAATGGAACACAAAGAATGAGTGTCAACAGGATATTTCATGGAATTATAGATGTTATACACAATTTCTTGCCTATCAAACTCCATAGTTAAAGAACCAGTAAAAACATCAATTTTAGTCCTAGCAGTTTTCAAGAAGGGTCTTCCTAACAAGATGGGAACTGCTTGTCTATCATGTTCCATATCAAGCACATAAAAATCAGCAGGAAAAATTAGTTCATCAACTTTCACAAGCACATCTTCCACCACTCCCTTAGGGTAAACATTTGACCTATCAGCTAATTGAATCACTACCCCGGTTTCATGTAAAGGTCCAAGTTCCAAAGATTTGAACAGGGAATATGGAATAACATTAATTGATGCACCCAAATCCAACATAGCTCTATGAAAAGTGGTGTCCCCTATTGTAACTGGAACAGTAAACATACCAGGATCACTGCATTTTTCAGGAAGTTTCTTTTGGAAAACTGCAGAAACATGAGCACTCACTTTCACTTTTTCCTTCCCTCCTAACCTGTGCTTCCTCTTTATAGTACACAGTTCTTTCAAAAATTTAGCAAATCGAGGAACACTTTTTATTAAATTCAAAAGGGGAATGTTTACCTCACACTTGCTGAATGTTTCATAGATGTCTTTGTCTTTCTCATACCTCTTTGTTTCTTTCAAAGATTCAGGAAAAGGTGGTGTAGGTTCATAAGATGGAAAAGTGGGAGGATTTGCTACAGCTTCATGTTCCACTTCCTTCTCTTCAGCTCCAATCAACTCTTCAGCCCTCTTGGTTGCAATTTCAGTCTCTTTCAGCTCCTTGCCACTCCTCAATGTAATAGCGTTGGCTTGTTGCTTAGGATTCAACTCCGTTTGAGATGGAAGTTTTCCTGAATCTTTAGCTTCAAGTCTGCTCACTGCACTTGAAATTTGGCTCACTTGACTTTCCAAATTCTGAATACTGGATTTGGTTTCTTGCTGGAATTGCACCATGTTTTGTTGCATAGTAGAAACATTAGAAGTTAGTGATCTAATCATTTCTTCAGTTGACATATTACTCGAATTTGAGCTTTGGCCTTGAGGTTTGGCTAATGGTGCCCTATATTGCTGATATTGCTGCTGGCCTTGAGCATTTTGCTGTTGTTGTTGGTTCCCCTGGGAATTCCCATATCTCAAATTTGGATGATCCCTCCATCCTGGATTGTATGTATTTGAATATGGATCATATCTTCTCTGAGGACCTTGCCCTTGGAAACCCATTGCATTGGCCTGCTCATTCTGCTCCTCTTGTAATTGAGGACATGCATCAGTGGGATGTCCCATGGAGGTGCATAAACCACAAGCATTCAGTTGTTGTGGATTCCTTGAGTTCACCATGAACTCACGCATCATAGAAGTCAAATCAGCTACTTGACTCTCTAACTCAGTTGTATTCGAATTTGCTAAATTCACCCGGCGCGTGGGAGTTCTCTGACTGAATTGCCTAGAATTTTCTGCTAGCTCTGCAATCAACCTAGTTGCATCTCCTGGAGTCTTATTCACTAGCCCTCCACCACTTGCTGCATTCACCATCCTCAAGTCATCATCAGTTAGACCTCCATAGAAGTATAGGATGAGGTCTTGATCGGAATACCCATGGTAAGGACAACTAGCACACAATCTCTTAAATCTCTCCCAATACTCATACAAGGATTCATCTTCCTTCTGATCCACATTGCTGATAGCTTTCTTAAGGCTTGCAGAAATAGTGGCTGGGTAGTACTTCTCAAGGAAACACTTCTTTAAATCTGCCCAAGTTGTTATGCTACCTGGGGGAAGATAGTAAAACCAATCCTTTGCTGCATCTTTGAGAGAAAAAGGAAATGCTCTCAACTGAATTTGTTCATCAGTCATCCCAATCGGTTTCATGCTAGTGCAAACCACATGAAATTCTGCCAGATGTTTATTCGGATCTTCGCCTTTCATGCCATGGAATGCCGGCAATAGATGAATTAGACCGGATTTGATCTCAACATTAGTACCTTCCTCCAACTGCTGGTATGCAATGCACAACGGTTGTTGGTTCAAGTTGGGAGCTGTGAGTTCCCTTAGAGTTCGATTGTCAGCCATCTCCTCTTCTTCTTGAATATTGAAGGAGTACGTTGATTCACTGGGGGTTGTTCTTGCCTCTTTTCGCAACCTGGAAATATTCCTTTCAATTTCTGGATCAAACTGCAAAACTTCTTTGTTAGCAGAACGGGTACTTATCATACCCTAGCGAACAAACAAAGAAAGATAGCTAAGAACAGTCCTAAAATAAATTCTACTAAGATAAACAATTAAAAAGTAACGCCTTAAGTCCCCGGCAACGGCGCCAAAATTTGGTGTGCCTCAGTCGTATGCAACCAAAAATATCACAACTAAGCTAACTGCAAATAAACGTAGTTAGGGGAGTCGAGTTCGAATCCACAGGGAAAAAGGGACTAATAACTGCAAACCTAAGTGGAATTACTCTAGGAACGTAGTAATCTAAGTAACAAGGGGGTTTTGACAAGCAATGGTGACAATTAAACTAAATCAGAACAATGAACGTAAATAGTATGCAATCAATGAGAATAATGGTCTTGGTTATGCGAAATCCACAATTGAACATACAAATTGATCATAGAAGTCTCTTCAATCAAACACTATTGAACACCTTGTTGTAGAATTCTAAATTCTAAATTCTCATAAGCTAGTTAGAAATAGCAAAGCGCTCCTTTCTAACCCTTTCTAATGTATAATTTAAGACAAGCGCTCTAAATCATCCACAAGAAGAACATAAACGGAGAAATCAACAAGGATTGAATAAATTAACACAAGCGGTCTAATTTCTTCAATAATATTATTCCCTCTTTAAGTTATCAATCAAAAGCATGCATTCATAACCCAAAGTTGCTACTTTGGAAAGATTAATTAGATGCAAGCGAATCTAACAATTCTAACCTAGCAATTGATTAAAGCAAATCATGAAATAATTCAAAGGAATAATAAACATTCAATAGATAATAAAGAGAAGAGAAATCTCACAATTTGTAGCCAAAAGCTTCAATCTTTAACCAAGAATCCGGAAGATTAAGCTTCCATTCAAAAACAAAGATTTCTGAAATTTGCCAAGAACCCTAGAAAACTTTTACTTCTCTCTAACTTAATTCTCACTAATTAATTTTTCATAAAAAAAGACTATATATATGTTTCCATACTTAAAATAACATAAAACAATAATAAAAATAATAAATAAATACAAAACACGAGCCAAGACAAAGCAAACTACTGAAAAATAACCAAAACAGGCCCCGAAATCTGGAAGACCCGCTGCCAGCTGCTCGGGACCCGCTGGCAGCGGCTAAAGCAGAAAAACACTTCGTCCTCTCTGGCTGACCCGCTGCCAGCGGCTCTGGCCAGCTGCCAGCGGCCCTGGCAGCGGTTCTGCTGTCTTCTGCTGTCTTCTTTGCTCTTTCTTCTAGCTTTGCTTCACCTTTACTCAAGCTTTCTCCCTTGCTCTTCCAAGCTCCATCACGCTTCTCAAATCACGAGCTAAGGTCCATACTCTATAATCCTCCTCATTAGTTCCCGAACTCACTCACTAACACCTATAAATCCCGGCTTTTGCACACAAGTGAGATCACCGCCCGAAACTCACAAAAGCTATTAAAAACTCATGCACAACATCAAAACACACCCTAAAACTCTTCTCTCAACCCTTGATAAGACGGCTTATCAGTGTATAAACACCTTGAGTGCATAAGGCACCCCAAAACCTTAACCTCGTCTTACAAGACTTGAATTTCTCCTTTACTCATTTTGTTTACATAATCATGAACGAGTAATAATTTGATCTTTACACCAATCACATACCTTTTCCTTTAAGCGCACCTTGCATAATTAAAGCACAAATAATACTTGCATTATATACTAGTGCACATCATTTGAAATTCACAATGTATAACCAGACAATTTAACCCAGTCAATCCTATACATGATACTAAGTTCTCTATCCGTCCTTAAACATGCACCTACAAGCAAGGTTTCGTATCTTGTACGTACCTTGTGTAAACAATCCGGTTGACCACTTTAAAACTAGAAGTCACCTTCTACAAAGTCCTCTCCTAAACCAAACAATTAGAAATAAATCAATACCAAAGCAATTAAAATTATAGCAATACTAAACTACTTTAAAACCTCTTAAATCACCAAAATAAAGCCTTTAAATTGTCCCCAAAAATCAAAGTTAGTAATATAACATCCCAACTTTAAGTTTACTAGGGTGGCCAACGCGCGCGATACGCGCGACATGGCTAGCCAATGCGGAGAAGTTATCAAGGCTTGTCTTTGTACTTAAGATTTTAGCTTGTACATAGTTATGATTAGTAAGCATTTTGCACGTAAAATGTCTTATGCAATCTTTAAATACCTTGAAACTGGTAAGAATTAATACAATGAACCTTTAGAAAGAGTAATAATCAACTATTGAGTTCAAAATCATACTTCGTATATCTTTAACCTTTTCTTATGTATTTTAAAGAGTAAAAAATAGCATTTACATGCTTTTCTTATAGAGTCTAGATGGTTCTCTAGAATAAAATTTTGATACATATTACAAGCTGAAAAATAAAGAGAAACAAACAAAGGAATAATGAAATTTTGCATCAATTTGTTCTTGGGTACCCTATGAGTAGTTAGGACTCTTAGCCTATTAGGTGTTAAATTTTAGTTTTGAGTTTGGAATTTGCTCAAGTCCAATGCAATGTACATTTATACTTAGTATTGTTGTTAAATCTAATATGATCATCTAATATAAAGTTTGGTAGCTTGAACCCAATGTAAAAAATCCAAAATAATAAAATACGGAGTAGCTGAGTTACCCAATGTAAAAAAAATCCAAAATAATAAAATACGGAGTAGCTTTTTTTTCCCTCTCTTTGTATATTGGTCCAGGGGCTTTATTTTTTATTTTTTAATACTCTGTAATTAAACCCAATGTAAGAAGAGCTGAGTTATCCAATGTAGGCAAGCTTGAGCTCAGCTTAATTCAACTCAACAATACAAAGAAATACAGTAAATCATTAAGTTGATACTCATTAGATGCAGAGCATATAACATTATTATGATGCATCATATTAGAATCTCACAATAAAAAGTGGTATCTTCTCTTCTAACAAGTAACAATAAACCTTTAAGATAGGTTAGGATTGATAAGAGAACTACTCACACCTCCTTTCCTTCAAATATAGAATATACATCCAGAGCCTAAGCACAAAGGCATTCTACTCCCTTTAAAAAACATGTACCTTGAAAAGTTGCATCTTTTAAAGTTGTGGACTCTCATTTTACGCTCTTAATCCCAAAATTATAATCGAAATTTAGATGTCCTTTGCATCTCATAACAACGAATGTAATACCAATGTTGAAAGCCACCTTTGTAAAATTCTACAATACCCAAAATCAAAACCAAAGTACAATCTAAAGATCATAAATAAAAATCCTAAAATATCGTATAGAATTAAAGTACCTTTTGATCGGATTGGTGGTAGCGCTTAACTGGACAAACCACAAAGTCACTGACAAATATTCATGAAATGATCAAATTGAAAGAATAGAAAGAGACATGAGGGGCTTCCATGGGGTAGTGCTCGGAAGTTGGTATATTTCCCTCGCTTATAGTGTTTCTAGTTCTCCATTCACTTTAATTATCTACTATATTTTTTTCTTTCAAAATCCAACCAAATTTAGGAAAAATAGATGAATATCCAGACCCTAAAACTTAAAAAGGATAATACCTTAAAATCTAAAATCATTCAAAACCTTATAAAACATTTGAAATTAAAATTGAAAAATACCTTTGAAGATTATATTGTCAGTGACTTTGTGGTTGAAACTTGAAACCATTAATTCAACCGATTGAATGAGAAGATAAAAAGTACGTAATAACAGAGAGAAGATATACAATATTAAAAAAAATAAAAAAATCTTGTAATATTAAATGGGGGCAAATGCATAAATACACATTTTTGGAGTTATAATTGTCACAACACTATTCATAAGAGCAACATTCTACTTTAAAAAAATCTAGTAATATTAAATGGGGGCAAATGCATAAATACACATTTTTGAGGTTATAATTGTCACAACACTATTTATAAGAGCAAGATTCTACTTTTTATAAAGTAGGGATATGTTAGAATTATGAAAATATAGTGTTTTATATCAAATTACAGCAACTTTAAAGTGGGTAAATAAATCTGAAAATTTGTTTTAAATATATAAAATAACCCCCTAAGCATAATTACTTGAATTAGTCATTATATAGCAAGTTAGTGTGTTAAAAACCCAAGAATATATCAATTCAATGCAATTAGAGGCTTCAAAATAAAAGGTATGAAATCTGAAAATTATTTTTAAAGTTAGAATATAAAGTTCAAAGCTTTTTCAATCACAAAATACTCACAATAATTATTTTGTAGGTTTAGAAGCATAAAAACATGAAATTAACACTACTTGTTCATAAAAATTGAAACTTTAATAAATCTGAAAATTTATTTATGATTAAGATA